TTTTTGTTTCTAAAGTACTTATATAAAAAAGTACTTTTCAAAATAAGGAGGTTTGGATGAACCCATACGATATAAGGTCTTACAAACAGGGGCGGATTTATGTAGGTGGATTGGGGTGCCACGCCACCCGGACGCCTCGATTAAACTTTGTATATTTAGGTATATATGTACAAGAAATAGGTTAAATACTAGTTGTGCCACCCGGAGTAACTAAATAGCAGAAGGTGCCAGTGGTGAAGACTCAGTTGGCGTGGGTTCGATTCCAATCTTGTACTCTTTTTTACACCTTTTAGCATGCTGCACCAATCCATCCTATTAAAGGCTGATTCCAATATTAATTTCTCTTCTATTGGTCAAAGGTTCAAACGACCACTTAGATGATCTTTTTGACAAATATTTAAGCGAGCTTCTATTGTTAAAAAAAAAAATTATTAGGTAGACTAAACCGTAGACTTCTTCTAACTTAAAACTCAATACATAACTGATGATAAACTTATTTATTGCATTTCTTCTGTAAATATTGATGCCGCTTATGCAAAATCCTATACGTTACCCGTTCAAATAATGTGGCACCCGCAACCTCCAAATCCTGGATCCGCCTCTGCTTACAAAGTTGCTGGACTTGGATGAAACCATACGATGCACTCTATGTCCACCCCTGCCTACGAGCGCAAAGTTGAGTTGCTAGCAAAACTCTCCATTTAGCTGTCTTAAACTTTCTTGAATTTAGGAAACAAAGACTTGACCAACAATAATTAAGGTATGAAAATAAGATTATATTAGGAACAATTTCCAAATTATATTCAAACTGAATATAAGCAGCAAGCTCTGGCATTTCTACAAGAATCTGCTGACGACTATTTGAAGTAAAGGTAGGTAGCAAAGGTAAAGTAGCTGGGTTGCCTTGCATTCAATGGAAGTAGCAAATGAAACTATGGAGAAACGATTTATCATAGCCACTAAAAATCAGTGTCCAAGTATCTAGGCAAAGAAAGTTCTTTGTTATTCTACTAGTACTAGTACTAGTATTAGAATCCTTTTAACTTTCAAAGTTCAGTTTCATATACCGCCTAAAGACTTGGGAGTCATATCATTTATTTCCTTTTGCTGCACATAAAAATAGATTACATTTTTCAGACCATGTCACAAAAATAGTCACCAACATAGCGGCTGCAGAATTTACAAAAAAATATGTTAAAAGTTTTCATATTTGTGGAAAAAATAGCGTGACAGTAACTTGTAACCATGCTAGAGATTACACCTTGGCCAACATCAATTTTCTCATGCTCAACATTCTACCTATTTTTATTTTTTTTTAAAATTAACCTCATCAAGAAAAGAATGGTTAGTCTAAGGATGTCATTATCTAGGCTTGCCTCTTTCCTCATAGAAACTGCTAATTAAGAGACAGAGGAAGGCATTCAGCCCAAACCCCTCTTACCAAAATGGAGGTACATTTGAAGTTGGAAGACTAAATTGGAACTGAACCATGATGCTGAACATTAGAAAAATTAAGAATGACACTGTAGCAAAAAGAATTTCAGACTATTTCTGTATAAAACTAGGTAGTACAATACAATTAATGATTACTTAGAGAATTACCTGCAATTGCCTTTTAAGTGTCTTTTTTTATATTGTTAGTACATAGAACTTATACTCTAATACAAAATAGTGAGAAAGCTTGAGATAAAGGAGATATTCAGCCATTTCTGTAACATTAATTCCAGTAACAAAGAGTAAGCTTAAGGCAAAAATACAGTAAATGAACATGTTTCATCTGACATCTTTAAAGCCTACTATGAACCAATTATCGTATCTCAAGTGGTTATTAGTTGTATAAAGTTCTCCATCTGACCGGCAGCATGAGAATGTTCTTGTTGATTTGGTGTATTAGCATTTGCTGATGAATAGATAGCCTTTATTAGTTTCTCATCCTGTGACCCAATATTGACCCATCGTTGTGAAAAATTCACTGTACTAATATATCCTCAAGTTCGAGCTCATATTGCATAACAAGTCTTTCAACAGTATTTCTACTTATTACCTGTTTAAGATGCAATTCCTTGAGGACTATTGATGCAAGCTCCTTGTGTTCTTCATGTATGATCCCTTCCACTAGAATGGTATATGTTATCTCATTGGGCATATAACCTTTACTGATCATGTCCTCAAATACCTTTAGCGACAAGTCTGTTCTTCTTGATTTGCATAGACCAAGCACAAGTGCATTGAAATTGTCAACATCAGGCCTATATCCATTTTCCTCCATGATGTAAAATACATCAACAGCAGCAACCAACATCTTCTCCAAGCACAATCCTCTGATCAACGATGAATAGGTGTAAGAGTCGGGATTGAATCCATGGGCTGTCATTTCATACAAAAGCTGAAACGCTGCAAATGTGTTTCCTTTCCTACACAGACCAGAAATCACGGCTCTGTAGAAATCATGAGTGGAGGAGCTCTGCTTAATCCTCAAAGCCTGGAGAATAGAAAAGGCCTCGTGCACCACTCCTTCCTCGCAAAGCACAGCAATGGAATTGTATGTTCCTTCGTTAGGACTACAATGTCGTTCTAACATTTGGTCAAGACACTTAGTTACTGCATCCACTTTCCTGTCTTTGCAGAGACGCGCGATTATAGGGTTGTAGCTAGCAGCAATTGGCTTGAACTGTTCTCCAAAGTACATTTCGTCCAGAATCTTGAGGGCGTGATCTGTTTGGCCGTGAAGAGCAAGGGAACTAATCAATATATTGTACGTTACTATTGATGGTGAACGTTCTTCTCCAACCATCTCCGCCAGAAGCTCATTTGCTTCCTCCCAACGTCCTTCAAAGCACAAGCTCCTCAACAAGATATTATAGCTAACAACATTAGGATTAAACCCTTTCGATGGCAAGTTTCTAAAGAACTCTTTTGCTTCATCTATTCTTCCTTCTTTACACAACCCAGTTAAGAGAACATTGTAACTAACCAAATTAGGCTTCCCACCCTTGGCAATAATATTTTCTAAAAGCAACATTGCTTCATTAACCCCTTTTTCTTTATAAGTAGCCTCAAGCAATATGGAGTAGGTATATGCATTTGGTACCAACCCCTTTTGCATCAATTTTTCCACAAATTGAAGGCTTTTGTTCAAGTTCCCTCGCATACAAAGTCCTCTTATAAGAGAATTGTAAGTGACAGTATTAGTAGGGTATCCATATTCTTCCATTTTATCAACCAATTGCATAGCATGACCAACATTTCCTCTCTTACACAAGTTATTTACCAAGAAAGTGTAAGAAGCAGCATCAGGTATAGTACCAGAGGTAACCATCATTTCCATAACTCTAGCAGCTTTTCTAAGTTTATTACAATTGCAAAGATCATACAATAGTTGAGTTGCATGAGTCTTATCAGGCTTGTGGCCTTTCCCAACCATGTATTCTAAATATAGAAAGGCATCATAAAGTCTAAGTTCTTTGTTTCTTGGGTCATTCTTGCCAGACCTCCAGTTGGGCAGAGTGAAAATATTATTTAGAGGTGGGCTTATTTGGGAAGAAGCAAAATTTCTTGAAATGGTCTTATTAGAGTGGAAAAAAGGAAGGAACTTTGGTATGTGGGTGAAGAATCCACAAGAATTTCTTGCATTCTCAGGTGATGGATTTGTTACAGTGGACACTGAATTTAACGGGACGGCCATGAAATCAAGAAAATGATTGAAGCCTAGTTTAGAAAATTGCACCAGAAAGGAACCATAATCAACAGAAAGGTAAGGAAACAGTAAAAAGGGACATACAATAGCGGTTTATAGAGAATCTATGCCATTCTTGATCAATGGAACAACGAGAGCCTTTTCTTCTCCGTGCCTGTAATTGTACTATACTCAGTTCCAAGAAAACTGTTTTTTTTTCTTTTCTTAATTGAAGTTAGTAAAAAGGAGTAGAGCTACATCTGTTGCGGGTCGAGTATGTCCACTCCCTCCCAATGTTATCCAAAAGATGGGTAATGATAGAAGTCCCCCCCTTTTTCCCGAGATGTTCTTTTCTTTTTTTCTCTTTGCGGGTCTTTTTTATATGCTCCATCCCTCCTTTTTACATAAGTTTACAATTTATGTAAACTTATTTGATACGAATTTTTTTCTAAAAAAAGGAAGATTTTTGAATTTTTTATATAAAATAAGGTATATTTTATGTGATAAAATTTAGATTGATTAAAGCAGATGGAGTATAATAAGTTTGTTCACCTTTTAACAAACTTAGAAGACCAAAATGCTCATGAGTATATTTAAAAACCTATTTTACACTCATTCCAAACAAAAGGAACCATTTTTGTCATTTTCTCTAACTTGTTTCATATTATCTTCCACATTCACTATGATAATAGTTCTCCTTTATTTTAATCTATCTAAACTTATTTGATTGGATACAAAGTTTAATGAAAGAGAGAAGACTTTTGAATTTATAGTATAAAATAACGTACATATACCTATTGCATAAAGTAAATTGTTATCAAATGTGAAAAGAGATTATTCTGTTTTTAATACGGACTAAAAATAGAAATATATTCACATAAGTTAAAATGAAAGAGTAGTATATATTTTGAGTTAATATTTAAACGTTGTATTCATTGAGATACCATATCGTAAATAGTGAGACGGAAAGGAGTAATATATATGTTAGGTTACTAAAACTACTAAAGTATATAGGTTTTTTCTCTTTAAAAGTTTTGAGTCATTAGTGAGGTATGTCATATGTGGATCATTTCTCGCCAAAGAAGGATAATGTCATAAATTTGTTTATGTTGTTCTCAAATTTGAGCTACGTTATAACATTTGTGCTAATTCTTCAAAGAGCTAAATACCCTTGGTATAGCTGCTAGCAGTACGTAGCCTATTAGGCAACAAGAAAGACGGTCCACGTCTTCACAAATAGATCACACTTGTCTCCCTTTCTTATATAGAGAAACATGCATGCCTCGCTGCAGTTCTCATATAACTAAACTGAGTGCATCACCAATCTTATACCTAAAGTAAAATAGAGAAGCAATATATTATAAAATCATGGGAAAGAGCAAAGATGATATTACTCAAGCAAGACTAAGTGAAGATGATGCTTTGAGAATAAGGTACAAAGCAGGCACCCCTCTTGAAGGAGGAAAGATTGCTGAATCTCAACCTGTGGATCTCTTCTCTAGTGCTCGCAATATTCAGAATCAACAAGACAGTAAGATTGCTCAATCTCAAATCTCACAGTAAAACAAGCTGAAGAAGTTTCTGATCGGGGAAAGGGTACTACTGTCTATGACGACGATGATGATATGGATAAACATCAGCCACCAGCAGCTGCAACTCTCATGTTTGATAGTAAGACGGCTGATAATTTGGCATCAAACCCTCCTTAAGCTGGAACTTATAAACCACAGCATCACCTTTTTAATTAATTTTCCTTTTCTACTGTATTATGAATAATAGTAAGTATTAGTATTAAACTTTTAGCTGCTTCTCTCTCTCTCTTATTAGGAGATGCGGGTCTAACAGTTTTAACTTAATTAAACACGACGGATTCATTTGTTGAAGAACCTGATCATTACCTATGGACTATATATAACAAACTTTAATTATGTTTTGTTAAAAATCTTTAACGGATTCAATTTCTATAAGTGTTGAGAGGTGCACTAATTGTATACGTTGATGCCATCGCAGAATCACTTACTCACACAAGTTATTAGTTGACATGTTAGTTGAATGTTGTTCTTTTCAATTTATCACACACTGAAAGACCAAGGGATCAACACACACAAAATGATTTCCTTAATACATGGGAAAAAATGATGTCGTTAATAGCGTCATCTCGCCATTTTCCATGTAGCAGGAAATTTTTTTTCTAACAAAAGGAAAAACTTAAATCTCATTTATGCAAGAGTTTCCTCTACCATGAAAGTCTGGGAGAAGGTGGTGGAGGCGAGGGTGAGGAAGACGACGTCTATATCCGACAATCAGTTTGGATTCATGTCGGGCCGCTCTACTACGGAAGCTACCCACCTTTTTAGGAGGTTGGTGGAACAGTACAGGGATAAGAAGAAGGATCTGCATATGGTGTTAATTGACTTGGAGAAAGCGTATGACAAGGTTCCTAGGGAGGTGCTCTGGAGATGTCTTGAGGCGAAGGGCGTGCCGGTAGCCTATATAAGAGCGATCAAGGATATGTATTATGGAGCTAAGACTAAGGTTAGGAGTGTGGGAGGCGACTCGGAGCATTTCCCGATTGTTATGGGATTACACCAAGGCTCTGAGCTTAGCCCATTCTTATTTGCCTTGGTGATAGATGCTTTAACACATCATATTTAAGGGGAGGTGCCATGGTGTATGTTATTTGCTGATGACATTGCTCTAATTGACGAGACGAGGGCAGGTGTTAACGAGAGATTGGAGGTTTGGAGACAGACTCTCGAGTCTAAGGGTTTCAAATTGAGCAGGTTTAAGACAGAGTACCTGGAGTGCAAGTTTAGCACTGAGTCGAGGGATGTAGGCGGGGACGTGAGGCTTGGGTCACAGGTCATCCCCAAGAGAGATAGCTTCAAGTACCTTGGGTCGGTGATTCAGGGGGACGGAGAGATCGACGAGGACGTCACTCACCGCATAGGGGCGGGCTGGATGAAATGGAGGCTTGCATCTGGAGTCTTGTGTGACAAGAAAGTGTCACCGATACTCAAAGGTAAGTTTTATAGAGCGGTGGTTAGACCGGCAATGTTGTATGGGGCAGAGTGTTGGCCGGTTAAGAACTCCCATATCCAGATGTTGAAAGTAGCAGAGATGCGGATGCTGAGGTGGATATGCGGGCACACTAGGATAGACAAGATCAGGAATGAAGATATTCGGAGGAAGGTGGGTGTCGCCCCTATGGATGACAAGATGCGGGAAGCGAGGCTCAGATGGTTCGGACACGTGCAGAGGAGAAACATCGATGCGCCGGTGAGGAGGTGTGAGCGGTTGGCCGTGGTGGGCACGAGAAGAGGTAGAGGGAGACCTAAGAAGTATTGGGGAGAGGTGATCAGGCAGGACATGGTTCGTCTGCAGATTTCCGAGGACATGGCCCTTGATAGGAAGGCCTGGAGGACTAGCATTAGAGTTGTAGGATAGGGGTAGTAGAGCTTGCCTTTCTGCATGCCGGGGGCGAGGCGGGGTTGGATTGGGGTTGATCTTAGATGGTTTGCAGTTTATGTTGAACCCACGCTATTCTTGTTGTTTATCTTAGATTCCCTAGACTCTGGCTACTGTTATTGCATGTCATTCATCTTTTGATTTTTATGCTTATGTAGTTTTTATGCTTATGTTACTATAATAATTTTTACTGAAGTTACTAATGAATTCTTTTTACTTCTTATTTTCCTTGTTTTTCTCTATTTCCGTCATTCTGAGCCGAGGGTCCATCGGAAACAGCCTCTTTGTCCTACCAGGGCAGGGGTAAGGTTTGCGTACACACTACCCTTCCCAGATTCCACTATGTGGAATCTTACTGGGTAGTTGTTGTTTCCTTAACAATTATTCCTACTCTTACCGATAATACTTCTTTCAACGAACACTTGAGAGATGTTTTCAAATTTTACTGCTCAAAAAGAGCATTCCAATATTATACACACTTATCACTAGAACTCTATTTTTATACTTATCATTAACGATAATAATATTTTTCTAGCCTATAATTTTCATCATGTTATTATCACGATTCATGCACCTATTTTGAACACCAATCATAACCGAAACACGATAAAAATAAAATAATAATCTTCATAAAATAAGACATAATTCCATGCCAAATGTACCAGAAGTGCAACTTAACTCCACAAGGAATCGACAATCAATGGAAAGAAAAAACAAGACAGATCATCTCTTCGCCTGAGAATTGACTTGTAAGCCAGTTACGCTCATAAGTCAGGCAGTTGAAATGTTCATAAACCAAAAGCTCAACAGTTCAACAGCGAGTCTAGTGCGCTCCATGAATGTTACACAGAATCATATACTACTAGGCACAACATGACTAACCGAAGAAGCATTTGCTCAAGAGATAATTCGTACATCTATTCAGTATTGAAATTCCTACTATCTTTGCAGGCTCATTAAGTTACATGTAAAAAAAAATATTAAGCATCCAGACTAAACTCATGCTACCAAAATTTTCAAACCCACTCAATCTGGCCATTTTTTCTTTAACTCAGACAGCTCTATGGAACGGCTGATTCGCTTCTTGGACCTGATTATAAGTGGACTCCACCATTCACACCCTGGAGCTGCCAGCTAGTAAGATATGTGCAGGAATGGCAGCTCTCTCAGCTACAATGGGTTAAATCCCAATGATGACAACGACCTCGGTTACACCAGCGATTCTGCCTTTCAACAAAGCTCAACTGGACTACAGGCGATCATTCAACTGCACTACTCCTCTTCTCCAATAATGATTCAAGAAATAGCGAACACAATTTAGTAAGAGGAGGAAGATTGTGAGATGGTCCACTAAATAGAGTTTCCCAATGCCTTTCTGATGGCACTGATGTGATTAATGGAGCTTGTTTTTTCTTTAAGCTAAATTCTGGTAGGTCCCCGTAGATAGATGCATAACCAAACTTTCCTGCAGATAGGATGAGCATATAGTTTCATCAGTCATGACAGTCATATTTCATGCGAGTCAAAAACGGATTGGGTCTCAAATGGGCGGGTTGAATATGAGTTAACCCATATTTTCTTGAGAGGGAATTTTTTTTGAGAAGGTGTTAACCCATATTTTCTTGAGTGTAATTTTCAAGTGCAATTTTTTAATTTTCAGATTATTTAGACATAAGCTTAACTGGAACAATATATATTCTTCATTATTAAATTTATTCAAATTTGACTATCATATTGTAAATTTAAGTTACTCATGCTTAATGTACTTCAAGCAATATCACTAATAATATATGACTTTGTGCATTTCCCACTTTGTTCATATATTGTCTTCAATCCAATATAAAACTAAACAAATTCAAAAATATATAATAATAATAATAGTACTACTAATAATAAAAGGAAAAAGAGCAAAAATCTGAATTCTTAAATATAATCTTGAGTACCTTTTATTTAAAGTCACGTAGTACAAGTGATTAAAAAAAATTCTCTTAACATGTACTCTTGAAAAACAAATGGGAAAACTATACAAATTTGCTTCTGGTTTTTAAACTATTTTTGGTATTTAAATATGCACCTAGAAAGAACAAGATCAACAATAGCCCAGTTAAATCCCCCCAGAAAGAACAAGATATTTTCTGCAAAAACTTCTACAGAATACTAAACAATACTTACAATGTTTAGTAGGAAAAAAAATATTCACATAGTCAACTATACTAAGAAGAAACAAATGAAGGAAGAGGAGTTCAAAAATAATAGTATCAGGTATCTTAGTGAGCAAAAGCTGGAAGACAACCCATTAGGCTAACCCATATTTTACCCATGAATACCCATATTTTTACGGGTTGAATATTGGTTGAAGCCTAAATTTTACCCAACTTAAATATCACTCATCCAACACATTAAAATATGGGCAGATTGGGCGGGTTGACAAAATATGGGCTCATTTTGCCAGCACTAATCACAAGACATCATGCAGTAATCATACATCTTTACCTCAGGGCACTCTATCATTTTAAGGCTTGTAGTGCCCCTTAAAGTTTCTAAGAACAAGGTTTTATTTCATATACTTTGGTACTGGCTCAACCCAAGGTAGTCTGAAGCACCTTGCCACACATAAAATAAAACCACAAAAGGCACCTGTATATCACCAGAGTAATAAAGGCCAGAAACTGAGATGCATAAAAGCTTTTGACATATTAGACATGAACTTAGGCAGACAAAATGGTACACACCTGTTTCCTCAAGATCAGTGAGACTTCCTCGGCTAATCTTATGTATGTGGGTGTGACTGTTGAGTGGATCAAAAAGAGCATATTCATGATCACTGTTTAGGTAAGCTAACAGCAACTGCACTGATTTGCCATCAGTAACACCACCCTCCGAGTTAGGACGTCCGCGAATAAAAGCAAGTGAAGCACCTTTTGCCTATAAAGAGAAAGAATGAGATGCAAACAAAGTAAAGACATCCAGTTCTGACCCCATTTATAGATGGCATTTCCGCCTTAGAAGAAAGACTAGAAGATGCATTATGTCGCCAATGTCTGAACTAAACTAGAAAGGCAAGAAACAGTGTCAGAAAAATACACACAACACAACTGCAAATGGCGTCTTCTGAAGATTGAAGGTGACAGCAAAATAGAAGAGACGCAAAAATTCAACACAAAAAAACATCTGTACACCAGGCGCAGGAAACACGAGAGAATGAAGATAGATAAAAACAAAGACAGGGAAAAGGTAATTATTTTCTCAACAGCCTTCACAAGATCAAGATTCACCACCACTAACATCAAGTTCCCAACTGAACTTCGAAAAACAGAAAAACAAACTCAAAATTGAGGAGAGGAATCATTACCTTTTTTACAAGCCAGCTCGCTGCGGGAACAAGATCTCCAACATTGAATAATAAGATCACCCCATCCGTAGATCCAAATGACTTTGGACCAAGGGCCAGGATGGCAAATAAAGAATCATCGATCGCACAAGTTACAGCTGCAGCAATCAGTAAGTACTAGTTGGATGAGACATTGACAAATGAATTAAGGTAATGTCTGACACATTACATAACAATATAAAGGATTGTGCAAACAGAACCCCCTGGCAACAAGTTTATCATTAATTACTAGACTTCTTCGGACCTTTTAGTTTTGAGTACTAGGCGCAAAATTTGGAAACATTAGCTTAGTTTCTGAGTATCTTTTGGTCATTTGCCGATTTCTTATTCCAAAGCAGCAAATTAATTTTTTGGTACTGATTTCATTAGCACGAAATAGCTTAAAATTTCCCCAAAAGTTCAGTCTGAGTTTGGCATTAAAAAAGAAATAGCGCACTAGATGTAGTCCAAACCATGCAACTCTAATACTTATCATAGAAGTGCAGTGAGATATGAGGAGAGCCTACAGCAAACAAAATCTCCCCCTGATGAATATGACCCCTTGACCTAGATATTAGTCATCAAAGTTTGGGACTTTGACCCCTCCACGATATATAAAGAATATCACAATGCATAATCTAATATGGGTTAGACTATAGAACTAACTAATCAGTACGTCCAGCAGCCCTTGGCTTCAGTTAACTTCTAGGAAGATTATTAGATTCCATGTGCATAAGATTCAAATTCAAGAGCCAACCTAGTATATTTGGAAGTAAAAATTAACAAAACTTCAAAAATGTGGAAATATGATTGACGATTACATTTTGATGTGAGTGTTTCTAAAAGCAAAAATCTGAAGCTCACACTTCACAACGTTTAAAAATATAAACATACATGAATTTAGTACTATAATGAACACCTAACATAACTAATTTCAGTATTCATATACAATAGTGCCAATATGAATCCAATTGCTCAAGTTGAGATTCGAAGAACTGACCTCTTCTCCTTAGGATCATTTTGTGTGTAATTATTTAAGTGCACACTTCTAGCAAGCGCATGGCTCCACTTCTGAACCGATAATCCACTTCGCATTGTTTCAGCGCTTTAAGTGACGAAGCGGTGGCTTTTTATAACACTGTCTGAAGCCATTGTCTCCATCCTTAATTAAGTCTATTTTTCTCATGAACTAGAAGCAGAAACTTAGAAGTAAATGATAAGCCTCAAGATATTTGGAATGAAGTTTTAAAGGGGTGGTAAAATAAGCTTGCAAGATGGAATGCAAATTATGTATCTCTGGGAGGTAGATTGATATTATTAACTCAGTTTTTCCTACCTACATGATGTCTTTATTTCCCTTACCAGCAAGTGTAGAAAAGAGGCTAGAAGGCAAGGAAAGAAAGAGAAGAAAGCGATCCATTTAGTTAAATGGAAGACCCTTACTATTAGCAGCAAAAAGGGGGGTCGGAAGTCGGGAATCTAAGAAAGCATAACAAAAGCCTCTTACTAATAAAAAAAATGCCTCTTGATGAAGTGGTTGTGGAGATTTCCAAAGGAGGAGCAAGCACTATGGGCAATGTGACTAGGGTAAAATATGGAAAGGTAAATTTTTGGATGACTAGAGGGGTTAACACTACTTATGGAGTCTGTCTCTGGAGATCCAAAAAGAATTTGTGGCCAAGACTGAAGGATAAGTTGAGTCTTAACGTGAAAGATGGAAGGAAAACACAATTGTGGGAGGACAACTGGTAGGGTGCCGGAAGCTTAAAACAACTATATCCTGACATCTATAATTTGAACCAATAACAGGGGGTTACTTTGAATGAACTTTGGTCTACACAAGGTTGGAACCTGACTTCCATGGGACCCCTACAAGACTGGGAGGTGCCCAGAATAATTGAGTTTTATAACATTTGGAACAAGGCAAAGGACTACAGGAAGGTGGAGATACACTCAGATGGTAGAAACATAGTAGTGGTATTAACTCAGTCAGCTCAGCATATAAAGATTTGAACCAGGAGGGTCCTCAACTCAGTTTATGGCCTTGGGAGCAAAACTACAAAGTAAGGGTGCCTTACAAATGGCATGCTTTTCTTAGTTGGTGGTTAGGGAAGCCGTCCTTGCTCAGGAGACCTAAGGAAGAGGGGTATACCAATTGTATCTGGGTGTTATTTGTGTGGACAGGATGCTTAGACATTAGCCATCTGTTTCTACATTGTAAAGTGACCAACCAGCTATGGGATTTGTTCATAAACCTCAGAGGTACTAGATGGTTAGTGCCAGGGAGAACCTTAGAACTCTTACTAAGCTGGAACTCAGGGGCAAGCTTTACCACAGACTAATACGGATGGAAAATTGTCCCAACAACTATTTGGTGGACAGTTTGGAAGGAAAGGAACTCAAAATGTTTTGAAGATATAAGCAACCCTCTCCAGAAAATCAAGATGAAGTGTATTCTGCTTTTTTGTTTTTGGTGTATTATGATGTTTCAATTCTAGATGTTTTAAGCTCCTTGTAAGAAGAACAAGGATTGTATTTTTGTTTCGTTTGATGTAACACTCCTATTTTGGTTTCCAGCATATACTCTGCTGATGACGTTATGGATATACTAGAAACATTACCTTCTATAAAAGGGATTACGAATTATCATAAACTGCCAAAGCATGAGAAACAAGAGATATACAAACCTTCTATTTTAAGCTTGTAAGACCATACTACAGACAGCTTTGACATGCTCCAAACTGATACTTGTGCATTAGAACCTTGTGATGTGGTTACAATATACTCTGACTTCCCAATAAATGCTAAGGAAGAGATTGGCTGCACAAAGAAAATAGTTTAAATGAGAAAATATTGTACAGATCAATACTATGGAACAAATAATAGAGGTGTACAAAGTACCACAAGAAGAGCATCAAATCTGCAATGGAACTTTCTGGGCAGTAACTCAGAATTGAGTCATAAAGAACAACTTGAGGTAAAAGGATTCAAATACTAGGTAAAAAGCTTTCTTTCACCAAAGCAAATAATTTAAATCTTGAACTCAGAAGTGTCAAATTGATATTTTCTGATAGGACAAAAGAGTAAAATTGATACTGGCATGTCAACAACTTACCTCAAGACTCTCCCCAACTGTCGCCACAAGAATATTCTTCTCTGGATCCCACAATGTAATAACTCGTTCTGCAGCTACAGCCAGCACAGAACCATCTCCAGAAAAGGCAGCAGCTGTCATTGCCTTTTTTCTAAGGGGAGAAAATCATGTCAAACAAGAAAATAGAGGTTTTACCGATTCATTATGTTGTAGTCATTAACATTGGCAGAGTACAAACAAGCAGCCATAAATCATACTCCCTCATTTTCAATTTATGTGAACCTATTACTATTTGGAGAGTCGAACAAAAAAGAAATTGACCACATTTTTTGCAAATACTTTTTAAATATTTTTGAATTGTCAACTATTATAACTCATAGTACTTTTTATGTGGTTTCTAAATATGTAAATTATTTCAAAAAATTGAAAACTCTATTTCCGAATTCACACAAAAAATTAATCAGTTTGACACGCACTACGAAGGTTCGCATAAAGTTGATCGCTAGGGTGCTAAGTAACCATCTCATGTACAAATGAAATGATACTGAATGAACCGCAAAGAAAGAGATGTTTTCATCTCGAATCTCTTTTCTTAAACAGTTAGGATTTTTCTACATGGTGGTCAGTTTTTATCTCTTTGTAGTCATTTTTCTTTAGACATTCTACAGTAAACATGATAGAATAAAACTAACCATTCAACTTCTCTATAATGTAAAATTTAAGGCAAACATACTTGTAAGAACCAACAGAATGGCATGTCCATCCAGCATTTTGCATCCGCTCTTTTTGTTGCATCTCCTGACTGCCTACCCAAACCTACCAAATAACAAACTGTTATTTAAGAATGGGTAATTTAGCAAGTCAGTTGAACCCATCTGCTTACCTTGAAATCAGCACCCCATGAAGTACTAACAGCTATGTTACGCGAAGGGTGGAAAGCGATGGATGAAATACCAGAATCTCTGCAAACACAGCAGAGCTTGAAAGTCAATTCAAAGGAACCTGGACTATAGGTAGATTTTACAGGAGAAAAGTACTGCCTAGTTTATTAGAGCACAAGGAGCTCCAAGAATTAGACAAGAGAAAACCTGTGGGGCTCATAGACAACAGTGGATAAACTGAAGTCTTTATTTGAAGAGCTGCATGACCAGAACTTCAGACATACAAGACCTCCTATTCCTTCTTCAGCAAGCCTGGTTTCTACAGTAATCATGATAGAACCCTCTGGAGAGAGGGCCACCAAATTCACTACCACCTGCAACAAATGGAAAAAAAAACTTTTCAACGCTCAAAACTTTTAAACAGCTTGTTCATATGATATTAATTTCAAAAAAAAAAAAACTACTGTTTTACATAGAAGGGCTTCTAACCATCTAGGCAATTTGTCCCAGGAGTCTATGTTGTCATGTATAGTATGAAGACTATGGAACCCAAGATAGGAGCGTAATAGTTAAGATGTTTAGTGATGCAAAGCACAAGGCAAAGTACAACAGCCAAATTAATGCCAATATTGGCCAAGTTTTTTTCGTTCTTCACTTTTCCTAGGAATATTTGTTGGAGAGAAAAGTTTTTGATAGCCAATACAAAAAAGGGAAAATCCACATTCTGGTCTGAGCTCTTGAACTTCTAGCCTTATTGAGTTTGGTTTCTGCCCCATAGTGTGAAGTATTTACGACGATGCTGGAAGGGACAGAAAGTGGGGAGAAGAAGAAGAATATCTTGGGAAAGAGTTGTCCATTATGCATTTTTGTGGACTACCTGGTTAGAGAGAAATAAAAGATGTTTTGAAGGGGGAAAACAGCATAATTTTTTGTAAAGAATAGATGCTTACAAAATCTTTATTTTTGGATTAAGGGTAGCTTAGATCATATGGATTTTGTTGAAATTTTGTAGTATATGAATTTAGAGAGGTAGTTGTGACACTGTAACTACCCTTCTTGACATGTTGCAGTACCTTCTTGGTACTATTTAATGAAATACACTTCCTGGATTAAAAAAAATACTTTCTGCCCCAAACTTGCGCTCGAAATCTGGGAAACTAAGGTGATGCATGGGCTCTTACACAGACTGAAAGACGCTGTTATTTCTTATCACATATCAGTTTTCAAACATCTCGTAGGACCACACGTGCACCTACATTCATGAGTATCATGTAAATTCATTAGTGTCATATTAGGTTCCATTTCCAATTTTTGGCATGAAACTTGGTGCAAAAGCACATGATACGAGGCAATAGACAAGCTGAATCAATTTCTTAGGTTATTTAATTCTAGGATGTAGGGAATGTTTTTTTTTCAATTCTAGGTGTACGAATTTATGTAGTTGAAGTGGACTAGTCGAACACACAGAAGACGAACTTTTATTCATTCACACACACACACACACAAGCATATCGAAAATTATAATACTGATCCAAATACCGGGATATAGCTGTTCAGGATTTCACAACTAAATATGAAGATCAACCAGGAAAAAAATTCTATACCGTGACTTCATCAGCTGGTTGGTGGCTTCTTTCACAAACTTGAACCTACAAATGTACAGATTAGGAAAAATCAACAGCCAACTCTAGTAAAAAGAGTACATACTTCAAGCAGTACTGCAAGAGGAGAACTGCTTGCCAAATGTACATCTACGTGTTTAAATGTTTGCTCTTCCCTAATCCCCCTCCCTCCTCCCCCACTAATATTTGAGTATATCTAAAGCTTGCCTGTAAAATAAGAATGCATAGCTCCTACTCATAAAGGTGGGAACAACAGATGTCCATAAAACCTACAAACAATTAAGGGCAAGTAAAGGTGAACCCCTCTTATGAATCAAAGTGAAAGGCTAATACTCCAGGGACGCAACCATGTAAACTGACCGAAACAAAAAGATAGAACCACAGGAAGGTGTGCAACTGAAAAGAGGATAAAACAAAATTAGGTTCCAAGTTCTTTTTCCTTTTCCAATTTTTTCTTCTTTTTTGTGATGGTGGGTGTTAATGGGGGAAGTTTAGTGCTAAATGGAAAAGAAAATATCAACTCATGCCACTTATTTTCAATCCATTTACCTCAGAAACCTCACGGTCATCGAACAAGCTATAAAACTGGACACAGTAATTTTCTGAACGTATGGCAACTAGCCCGGTAGCAGAGTTAAAAACAATTCCTTCAGATGAGCCATCGAACGTGTCCAGGAGTGTGCTACGAAGCTGCAAATTAAAGCTGTAAGGACTCCCAAAGGGCAAATTTTAATATATTATATCAAAATATCAGGTAAGATGGAGATAAGTGTTTTGAATGGATTAACCAAACACAAAAGCAAAGACATTATAGTACATGCGCAAAGAGGATCCTCCAACCACCGCAACAATTAGGCTGGAGGGATCTTTAGCATTGCTCATATAAATACGGTTCATAGTTATGATAACCAATCTACAAAAAGACCATATAAAGAAAATACATACGAATCTAAAAGGAAAATGTGAGCTGAAAGTAACAGGTATGGCTGTTTGTTCTAGTGCTTGGAAACAACACACCGAAGCTTTCTTATCCAATTTTCTTACTATCTGATGCTCATCTTATATATAAACAGCATGAATGAACCTGGATCTTTTTCCCTTGATAAGTATTATAAAAACAGAACAATGTCCTAGAGAAATGATGACAGGCATGAAGTTTTTTCTCCACTCTTAATCTTTTCGAATAGTGTTTTGCCTCAGAGAGAGGAAAAGAACAAACCTTGATTCCTTGAATGGATCTCAATACCTCCATCGAAGGCATTTTGAGAAGGTGGATTTGGTTATCTGCACAAGATATCTGGAAAAACTTACTTAGTAATAAGAACAAAATCCAGTAGCAACTACCTTCACTTTATAGACAAATATGCTTACAGAGGACAGAGAAGGATCAGATGACATGGTAAAATACAAAAGGGGGGATCCTATTCGTGGGAGAAATTTCTGCTTCCCGGTGTCTAACTGCCAAACCACAAGAACTCCTTCCTTCCCACCTGGATCAAGTTAAAAAGTTGCTAAAGTTAAGTAAACATCAAATTGATATAATTCATGTTGTAGTCTAAATTCCAAGTAAATAAAAGAGATGTGCCTAAAAAGTTCCCACTTTCTATGATGTTTCAATGCAATAAGTTATGCACGTGAACATCCACATCAGTACAAGGTTTTAAACTCGTCTTTACACAACCAACAACGCTGCTTATATTTACTTTATACCTGAGTACACATAGGCACCATCAGAAGAAAAAAAGAGAACTTTCACTTCTGCAGAATGCCAATGCCGTGTGGTACAAGAATCAGCATCATCGTTTCCCCTAACTCCAGGCTTTTCCTCCACATCCTTCATTAGTCCTCCATTTCTCTGTTTATTACCAGATGGTAAATTCTGCTCCCCAACACCGCTCCATATTAAGATCCTTCCTGTTACATCTCCAGCTGCAACAATCCTCTCTGTTGGATGAAAAGCTAGAGTGCTCAAGGTTTTCGTATGATGTAACCTGATTTTCTGAAGCACTGCTTGATCAGAATCTTTTGCTGGTATTTCCCATATGCGAAGCTTGCGCTTGTCACATATGCCCATGTATCTTCCAGAGGAGCTAAGTGTTATAGATTGTGCGTCTTGACTCTGAGAGAAATTATAAACTTTGATCATTCTCAATCACATGCAAAAATGCCATTGTAGGGTTTACTTTGTAAAATACGATAAGGGTAAGTATTTGACTGTGGAAAAAACAATGATGTGAAAGATCGTCAACCTTTCAAGGAAGAAGATAATCTAGTGTAAAACAAGAAAGCTTACTGTCAGTGACTGATGGTATGGACTCTCTAGAAGCAAAAGATAACTCAAGACAACTTCTACACTAGCTAGAAAGAGCTCGACATGAAACCACTTATTTTGTGCCGCATGACACTTACAAAAATTGTTAGCATTAGCTTGTCTGATATGTTTTTTATAAGCTAGATAACATTTTACTTGTGATGGTATCTGATACAAAAATACAGAAAAAGGTAACTTCATAATGCTTTAACTAAAAAAGATTTGTTTTCCCAGATTCCTATGAATTAGCTAAACTTAATGCATGCTTTCCGAAATAGCACCATGCCTCTCACTGCAATCTTTTACATAGAACAACCTAGGGCATTTTCACATAGAACACCTTGGCAGATGACAAGGGAAGATGATAAAATGGACTAAGAATTGCATTGAAATACAACAGGAATTTTTGGGAAATGAAAGAGAATCTACAGGTGATTGTCATAACTCATAGTTCTTCAGACATCATTAACATCAATTTTGAAAATCTATGAATTGTCAATGTCAGACATGGTCATAACTCTGCCAAATTAAAGTATGCTTAATAACATAAATCTATGAGATGGATAACAAGTAGCAATGCAAAATTAGCATTTAATTTCTTTATTAACAAACTTGATAGATTTAAAACTACAATGATATACAAGGTTCTGAGATATCTGAAAGTCTGATACTTTTAATGAACTAGATTTGAGTATGGCAGCTACAAGAAGCTACCCAATACTAAGTTCTTTTTTTCTTTTTCCCTTGGGAGGTATGCTGGTGTAAATTTTATGCTTTAGAGACCATGAACTCGTACTGTCGTACATAAGATTCCTCTTCCTCAACTTTTGGACATCATTTAGCAGAGCAAATGATGATGGGACAACATGATAGAAATGGATAAGAATCGTGAGTACATTAAAAACAGAATTATTGCAAGAATACCTCTGGATACCAAATCTAAGCTACAACCTATACAACAGAATTATTGCAAGAATACCATGATGTACACACATTCTATAGTTTACGGTAACAGCTGATATCACCTATCTATATCAGTAACAGCTGCAACCACGTTATGCATTCTAAGGAGCCATTTTACCTCGCATCACATATACCCATCCAGATACCCCAACTCTTTCTGTCCCAAAACTAATAAAAGCAATCAGAGAAACAAAGAACAAAATGAGGACAACGAATAATGTCTACAGCAACTTATTATCCTTTGCATAGTAAATCATATTGAGCGTCTGCAGCTAAAATAAACTTGCATGCGAGAAAAAGAGCCAAAACACTTGCACCAGAGGGCCGAATGAGAAATCTTTAATTCCTCTATCCCAAATTAAGAGCCGTAGTTTGACTTGGCACAAAAAACAACAGCAGGACTGAAAAGGTAAGTATTTACTGTTTGTTGGGAAAACATGAGAAATCCTTTTTAAAAACTAAATGGAAAAAGAGGTTGTATTGAGAGGAATTAAAGTGAGCCTGACATAACCTTTATGTGTTATGAAACACATTCAAACTTCCCTTCGAGGAAAATGGACACAGCCTTATGACTGACCAGAATTCGAGACAATCTTCACCGAGTTGAGGAAATATATTCACAACAGATTTCAATTTGGGATATTCTAATTTGACACATTCCAGAATATATTCACATTAGATTTTCTATTTGGGACAATCCAATTTGGCGCAGTTCGAAGTAAAACCATCCTATTGCACAATCTTTTTTTATAAGGAACCATCTTAGATTCTTAGTGCACAAATTCCAACAATGAACATATAATTTTTCTTCCTGGATAAAAGAAAGCATGGCAGACATTTTTTATACCTCCGCCAAAGTCACTCCACCAACCAAAGTAGACTTGGTTAAGTTACACTTCCTTATCTGCCAGCATAAAGCATTACCCTCTCCTTGCTGTTCTTTGAAGGCTCTGGTAGATACATATGCAAAAAGATCAGAAGGCTTTTCGCTACTCTCTGCAGGTTGGGATAATAAACCTGGAATCACCTGATAAAGATGACAGAGGGATGATCAGATAGATATGCGGAACACTAGCACAACAGAGTCCGATAAAGAGACATTACTAGACCTGAGCAGTAGTAAACAACCAAAATAAAGCAACAGCAAAGGCCTCGTCATGAAGGATTGTCATTTTGTTCGTGTATTATGCATTTCATGAGCTTTTCCAGGATTGACTGAAAAATTACACATTCCTGGTCTCTAGGAACCTACCATTTCCTCTAGTAGGAAACACACTCACAGCCAACTACTCCTAACTTTGTCCCATTTAAATACTTGTGTGTTTGCCTAAATATTATTCCAGACACTCTCAAGCATCGGCATAGCATTTATTTAGCAAATTAGAACACCACTGGCACCTGAATTACCTGATGCTAGATCCTTTGCTTCGCTAACAATCCATTTTCTCCTTGTAAGTTCATTTTTTATTTTTATTTTCATATTGTCAACATGTTCTTCAGAAGATTCTCAACTTTAGCACTGAAATTGGCCGGATGCAGAGTCGTATTTCAAGCTTGACGTAACTATATAACGTACAACTGCCAAAGTGACCAGGTAAGCATAATTTAGATGCAAAACACTAGTGGTTATGCCACAAAACCTGCAAAGCACTTCTTTAATCCATCTTTAAATAGTACTCTTAAAGTGAGAAGCTGTTACCATGGAGTAAATGGGGAACTGGGCATCAATACTTTTCATCAGCTCCGGCACTGAAAAGTCCCAATATTTGATGGTACCATCATGTGACGCTGTCCAACAGTAGCACAATATTTTGCCTGCTGGAGTAGTAGACGGTACTACAACCACCGAAGTTACCAATGCCTTATGACCTTCTAATTCAGCAATCTGTAAAATAAAAATAATTTAACAACTTACAATACCTTAAACAACGCATTTTTTGCTGCCGAGAAAAGTGAACGAACCTGTAAGCCAGTGGAGGTGCTGAAAACAGAAACGGTGTTTCCTGTGCATACGAGAAGTTTCTTTGCATCGTTTGAAAATGCAGGTTGTGAAGAAACCAAGTTTCTTCCACCCGTAATCATCTTGAGCGCTCTCCTCTGCTAAAAGAAGAACAGTGATTTAGACGAATTGATTGCGTTTTTGTTTTTATTTTGAGAGTTTGGTCTTCTTTCCAAAACCCTAAACCCTACCTGTTCTAAGCCTTTAAAGGTTGGTTATTTTACACACATTCATGTGTTTTTGTATGAATTACGTTCAGAGACTTCTAGTTTCATTAGTTGTGCCTGCCTTCCCTTTAAATTCTGAAAAGTTTCGTATTTCCACCCATGCTTCAAAAGAATTTTACTTTAGGCCAAATACATACTTCATAACCATGTTCGTGCTATAAGGACAATGTATTATAATTTCGAGATAAAATATAATATGATTTTATTTTATCTCATATTTGATAGAATTTTAATTTTAGAATTAGCAATTTTAGAATTTTTTTTATATCACAATTGTTATCTTATTTTTATACCACTATCTATGGAAGGCATTTGGTTTGTGTTTTAGTTATAAAGAGATTATAATGCATAGATTGTTTATACGAGATTAACAATATGAAGTCTATTATAAAAAGAATAAATAATGCATTGATTGTTATGCAGTAAGAATCGCTTCTTTAGAAAGTACCCATTGCGATGACATTTTTTTCTTTAAATGTTCTTATCAAAATATTGCTAATACATGTATTACTTATTCTATGGTTTATCCCGTATTAAATAATAAATAGATTTTCACATAGGCCAAATGCATAGACGGACCTTTAAAGTTTGTATCCTTTGTTTAGATACCTCATATAGAGATTATACCTATTAGACACTACAACACTATTTAAAGTGAGCGTATTTAACACCTTATTCATAGCCATGAAAATGCGATGCTTGTAATTCACACATTGATACGGTGGTAAAGTAACAAATGATATTGAGACACATGGTTTTGGACATTAATAAATAATAAAAAGTGCATGTTTTTTAGTTTGTTTGCATATTGTTTCTTATGTGAGTTGCGGGAGATCACATAATTTTTAAAGTAAAAATATGCTCATTATGTATATCTTATTTGTAGGAACGAACTCGCTCGGAAAAGAATCAAATAGGGAAAAAATTGACAAACAAAGAGTTGAAGAGAAAGGTCTGGGTAGCAAAGCAAGGTTTACTTCGCCAGACCGGGACCGGAGCAGAAGAAAACAACAATTGGTAGCAGTTTGGGTCGCGCATCTGGCCGCATCCTGAGCTTTTCCAATCTGAAATTTAAGAGGTCCAATTCGCCCCGTACAAACCCTAGTGGATATAAATACATATTAAAATATCTTTTTGAGGGGAGACACTACTTTAGGGTTAGACAACACCTTTGGAGGCAAGAATACGTTAGAACCAAGGAAGAAGATTCAACCACGAGTTTTTCCTTTCTTCTTCCTATTTTCTATTGTTGATTATGAATTTTAGTATTGTATCTCTACATATACGAGTAACTAATTTATTATCTAGAGTTTTGATTGAACCTTTTGGATGATGGATTCTTGTTACTTTTTAATACTCCCTCCGTTTCAATTAATGTGAACTCATTTGACTGGGCACGAAGTTTAAGAAGAAAAAAGACTTTTGAACTTGTGGTGTAAAATGAGGCATAAGTATTTCGTGTGGCTGTAATCATTGCATGCAATTAAATTGTTTCCATATATGTAAAGGGGTCATTCTTTTTGGCAAGTACTAAAAGAAAAATAGGTTCATATAAATTAAAACGGAGGGAGTATAACTTAGTCTTTGAATTTATTTACTTGTTCAACTACGTGCTTATTTCACTTAATTGAAAGTTCATCAATTGAATGTGCCTATTTATTATGTATTGCCTGGGAAATAGTACATATTTAGGTGGTTGTAAAACAACGTCACTCATAACTTATGGGAGGAATCAATATGTCGGGTTTAAAGGTGGCTTTAGGAATAACCAAGTCTGGACATGGTCATAGTGAGCGGTAAGGTAGTTACAGCTAGTGTAGTGTGAAAAACTATGTCTAGTAAATTATTGTAGTTGTTCGGGATAAAGTTACGAAATATAAAATGCTCGTGATCATTGGAAAATACCTAGGTGAAATTATATGAGATATAGTAGTAAGGATTCCGCCAATTGGGGAAATCATAACTCTAGGCCTTCTTAATCTTATATCCAAATTTGAATCTCTTTAGTTGATAGATTTTTACTACTTTCTAATATTTGTTAGTTAATTAGTTTAAAATAAAATTGTAATTTTTATAATTAGATTTGAACTTGTATTTCTTAGTGATATTCAATAACTGTAGATATGCCTTAGTTCTCTGTAGTATTCGACCTAGACTCTTAGATCAGATTATATTTGCAGCGATCACTTATCCTTTTTAGGACTAGAGTTGGGAGTGATCAAATTTTGATGTCGTTGTTGGAGAAATAACAGTATAGTTATTGTTGTAAATATTGTAAGAGTTCAAGTTTGAATATTTACTTTATTTTATTTTATTTATGATTTGAGAAACATGTCATCTTGGAATTTATGGTAGTTTAGATGTTGATAGTTCTACTTTTGATCTTTTTATGCACATTATAGAGGAAATTATTGTGTGTCAAAACTGTCAAATTTTATCGGGAGCGAGTTATATGTACCAACTTAATCTTATGTGTGATGCATGTGGTGGTTAACATGATCGCTTTTATGGTTGTGCTTGTATTTCTTATCCTCCCCCAAAATTGTACTATGATGATTTTACTTCATCTTGTGAAGTTAATAAGAACAAAGAACGAGGAAATACTGACCTAAGTGAGATCAATGATATATTAATGTGCCTTGTGGACCAAAATAATGAGACACAATTACAGATAAAAGGGAAAGAGGTAATTATTCACAACTTAGAGTCAATTGGTGGAAGATTTTCATATTCAATAAGCTAATATTTTTGGATAATGTTGAGAATAGTATGAATTAGAATCAGTAATTGATATTCTGATGGAGGAATTAAGAGTAGAACATCGGCAACCTACTCAATTAGAATTTGGGGATGCCGATGTTAAACAAATGATACTAGAGTCAACCAATGACAATAAGGATAAAAATTTAGTTGACTTTAGTATCGTCGGTGTTGAGGATGTTGAAAGTCCCGAAGTTAATATATTTGAGGGCATTGGTTATCACTCCAAGCATTTTTTCAAATTATATTTGGATGATTATAAAGTCATCTGAGCCAATTGAAGAGTTAAGGAATGAGGAACAAGGTGCCTATATTCTGAAAGATTTCGTATAAAAAAAATAGGATTACATACCTCACCTAAAGGCCAAGAAGTGTAGAGTACTACATTAGTTTCTTGGGCCAGTTAGATTTATTTTATTACCCCCGGAGCATAACTGAAAACTTAAATCCAAATTAGGGGTACAATTCACAAGCTCGAGGTGGAGGCAAAAAGTGTTTCACGTCATCTCGCGATATTAAATCAAGTGTTTGTTGGGAGGCAAACTAACTTTACTGCTTTTATTAATTTCTAGTTTATTTATTTATTTATTTTATTGTATTATTTTATAGTACTATTTTGGTTTTGTAGGAGTAGGAGCATGAGACACAAAGCCACTGGAAGAATGCAAAAGCAAGCTAAATAGTTGGAACTAAGTGTGGGGTGCCCACAGAAAGGACCAGGACCGGGAAAAGTCCGAGTACCTCATGAGTTGTTAATGCTTCGTCCTTTTGTCTATGAGAGAGTTTTTTTTACCCTCTTGCATTTATGGCGTACGTTGAGGATAATGTACAATTTTAAGTGTGGAGTGGGGAGATTGTCGGGATGATTTTGTTCTCTTTAATTTTGCTAGTTCACTTGAAAAAAGTCACAAAAAATTGAAAAATAATAATTAGGTGGAAATAATCCCTCTTGATTTTTCTACAATAACGACCCAACCGGTCGTTTTTCTTTCTAGATTTCCATTCTTCTAATTAAGACTCCCTGTATGTGCCTTTACTATTTTATAACTTGCGATGATGGTTGACTTGGGTTTGGAAGGGTTCAGGAAATCGAAGCACTTTGTTTTTTAATAGTGGCCTAAGATGGACAAGTTCGACTTGAGTCAATATTCTTAGTAAACTACTTCAGAATCAGAATTTGACAGTTTTAATAGGTTTGTATGAAGATTTTGGACTTAGGTGTGTGTTCGGATCGGGTTTCGGATGATCCGGGAACGTTTCGGCGCTTAATGTTAAAAGTTGGCGCATTGAAAGCTTTCAAGTTCTTTAAATTTGGTTTGAAGTAAACTTTAGTGTTATAGAGGTCTATTTGAGATTTGAGCCTGATAATAGTTCCGTATGTAAATTTACGACTTGTACGCAAAATTTGGTGTCATTCCGAGTAGTATAAGTATGATTCGGCGCGTTCACATTAAGTTGAAAAGCTTGAAGTTCATAATTTGATTCAATTTGATTTTGGGGTGTGATTCTTAGTTTTGATGTTGTTTTATGTGTTCTAAGGGTTCGATCAGGTCCGCATTATGGTTATGGACTTGTGGTGTAATTGGACGGGGTCCCAGGTGGCTCGGGTGAGTTTTAGACCACACATAGCTAAGTTTAAAAATTTGCCATTGCTAGTTCGGGTTTCCTTCTTCGCGATCGTGGAGGTTGTTTCGCATTCGCGAAGAAGGAATTTGGAGGACTGTGTAAATGTTCTTCGCGTTTGCGATCCCCAGCCAGCATTCACAAAGGTCTGGGGCTTGTGGCCTTCGCGTTCATAAAATGGTACACATTCGCGTAGGGAAAACACATGGGAGGGGTGAATACCATTACCCTTCGCGTTCGCGATGCTTAGGTGAGACAAGCCTTCGCGATCACGAGAGAGCCCCCGCGTTCGCGATTAAGTTTCTTAGGGGCTCGGCCCGCTTCGCGATCGCGAAGAAGGGTTAACTGGGCAGAGACTTGTTTTAAATCGGGGATTGGGTTTATTTTCTCTCATTTAACTTTGGGTTAGCCGATTTTGGAGCTCTTGGAGAGGGATTTTTCACCTATCATTGCAAGGTAAGTAATTACTACTTAATGTGAGTTTAATACAAGGATTTTGAGTAGATGTTTACATATAAATTGTGAAATTACAGGATTTACCTTTTTTTAAAAACTAGATTTTGATAAAAATGGATTAGACCACGAAATAATTGTGGAATTTAGTGTAAAT